CCCTACAACCCTCGCTAATTCACAGGCAGCATCTCCCAAGTTTGTCTCACGGCTGCGTGAAAATGTTTGCACATCTTACAGCATACCTAATTCGGGGGTCTTGCTTCCGTTTTAACTGATTTTATTAAATTGTGACTGTCAGTTTCTGTTTGAAAAGAATCGACTCAAAGAAGTCTATTCCAAGTCCACCTTTGAAAGATGAAACTTGTCTCTAGTCATGCAGTTCTGCCTTCCCCTGTGGCGTGATCACTAAATCACACGCCTCCTTCAGTGTTTGGAGGAGACGGCTCCCCAGGGCTGTGCGTGGACACCTGAGATTTTCAAAATGAGTCTCTGAGCATCGACGGGAAAAAATTTATTCATGATGTCTAAAGGAAAGACGAGTGACTCTCTAGAGGAGAAATGAAGATTAATCAGCCTCTGTTGCTCTCGGATATCTTTTTGAAATTCGCATTTTTGTCCCTGCAGTCTTCAGAGAGTCTATTTTAAATGACCTACTTTTGAACTGGCTTTCCGACCAGCGTGTAGCGGCAGAAGACAGTTGACTTTAAAGGGTTTTGTGGCTCACGATTTCCTCCTGAACGCATCACTTTACTCTGTCGCTCTGACTGGTGCAGACAGGAGTCCCTAGAGAACAGACGCCTTTCGTTAACAGAACAGTGGATGAGAAGAACACAGGTGTGCTCTGGGCCAGAGTGTCACGCATTTCTGCAAGGGGTCAATGTTGGGCATCACAGTCCCCACGTGGAGGTGAAGGGTCAGCAGCCCTGCACTGATCAGCTCCCGAGGCGGGTCTCCGATGGCGTAGCCACAGGCGGCTGTGCGCCCGGCAGCCGAGCCCTCTGGGCGGAATTCCACCGCCATCTGTGGTCATGGGTCCGGGTGCACTGCACCCTCTCTTAGGAAGGTGGGTGGGTGGGTCTGGGGGCTGCTGCGCCCCTCCCTGGGGTACTGTCCCCTCACTTGGACCAGCCTTCCTTTATCCGACCAAATTCTTGGGTAGAAAAGCCCACGTCCGATTTGGGGGCGAAAAGGCTCATTGGCATCACAGCACACTGACTGGGTTCTGTTATTCAGAAGCCGGCCTTGGCTTTGACGTTGAGAGTTAGGACGAGATTTCAGTTCACCTGTTTAAAATATTGCGCTGATCCTGGTGGCACAAAACTGAAGCAGGTGCCCCAACTCTGTCCTCAAAAAACAGCAATCCCCACGGGCCTCGGAGGCAGAGGTGGTCTTCCTGGGGGCCATGGCCGCTAAAGGCCGTGACTTCGGGTCAGAGATCACCAGTGGGCACAGTCACGTGCAGGACACGACAGTCCCACCCAAGGGCCCACAGAAAACACCCACACTTCTGCTCGCGTTACCCAGCAGGTAGCTACTGCACGCATGCTCTGTTCAGTCCCCACCACCCGCTGTGACCACCCCGTGCCCCGCGTCCCCCCATGTGAGGGCAGGACCTGGACTCGGTTTCCACGAGCAGACTGCAGCGCTGCCGTGTGTGTGCTGTGTGTGCGTGACCATGGGGTTACATTAGGTAAGACTGTGGTGCCCAGCCTGCCGAGTCTCTCTCTGGGGCTGGCCGCCAGGAAGCAGGAGCCCCGCTGGGGACTCCGTGTGACAAGGGGCTGCGTGGCTCTAGGAACAGAGAGGGTCCCCGGCCAGTCACCAAGTGGGCGTGGAAGGGGGCTCGCAGCAGCTCTGACCAACTGACCCCGGATGGCCCCTGGGGTGCCCGTGAGCAGGGAGCCCGGCTCAGCCAGGCTTCTGCCCTGGGTCTGCGGAAACCGGGAGAGCCAAGCGTGTGTGGCTGGAAGCCGCTAAGACTGGTAACATTGCTGCATAGCAGTAAATGACTGATACACGGCTCCACAGTCTGTCTTGACCTTCAAATCTCTGTGAAAAGCCCCTCCATCTGGGCGTTTGTGTGAAAATCCCTCAGTCGGATTCCCAGGAGCAGATTCAGGTTTTTGGGGGGATGAGGAATGTCGTGTCCCTCTCCATACATCCTATTAAAGGTGCACACTGGTGGTCTGTCCCCCTACGTGTGATTCTCAATGCGTCACTTTGTCAGCGTGTCCACAGGTCCTTCTGAGTAATGACAGACACTCTTTCCCACGCTGACTAATAAGTAACTGGTGAGAAGCGACTTCACGTAAATACCCCAGTCTTCGCCTAATTCCCACCCTCCAGTTTCGGCAACCATCAGTGATGTCCTGGCCACGCGATGCCTGTGGACTCACCAGTGCCGGGCTGCTGTAAGGGCCATTCCCTTCTCTTCTATTTCTGTGCTTGTCTAGGTAATTACTGATATCGGCACAAACCCACGGTGAGTGGCTTTTCATTTGTTACCATCTCTGTATATTCCGACATTCCAACTGTCCCAGATTTGTCCGCTGGAAGCCCCTTCAGGTGTGTATCTGTCCTTCTGACATGTTCGCACCATTTTTAAGCCTTCCTCATTTTCTGGCAAAACAGAATTTCCCAGGTATATGTTGTGGTTTCGCTGCCCCAGACCTGGATCTTTTCTCCAAGGTTTCCCGGTTCCTTTCCAAATGAAGGGTGGGGTTTAGCAACCGAAATATGGGCACCAGGGGTACTCGTTGCCAGAGAGATGTCCCGGCTCCCAGTATCTCTCGGTGACAAGGCTAGAATGTGTACATCTAACAAAATGCACGCAAGATCCATACATTAAACACCGTCAAGGCATCGCTGGGAGAAACTTTAAAAGCCCGAAACAGATGGGCAGGCCCGAGAGACGGGCAGTAGGTGGGCTGTAGGACTCTGTGTGATTAAGATGTCCGCTGTGAAGATGTTTCTGCTGAGCATCTCGCAGGCTGCCATCGACTTACTGGCTGGGACTGGGGTCTTATCTGAGGCTTGACTGGGGGACACTACTTCCGAACCCACCCAGGGTGTTGCAGCATTTCCTGGTCCTGTGGGGTTCCTCCACCTCTCTCTCTCTCTCTCTCTCTCACACACACACACACACACACACACTGAGTTTTTAACCTCCACTCCCACGGCAGCCCTGTGGTGTGCCTTCTACTCTTCCACCTTCCACACGGAGAAACACGGGTGCCCTTTTCTGTGCAAGTGCACGAGCCACTTCCTCGGCTTCCTCGAGCCCAGCGTTTGTGGGATTTGCTACAAGAGCAGGAGGTGCCGTGTGGCATTTGAAAAAGAAAATGGCCAGGCCGCAGAGACACCACGACTCCCTGACCCAGGGTCGGCGGTGCCCCTTGTGGAAAGGAGTGTGATCATCCGTGGTTCCGCTTGTGTCTTCCTCCCTGAGTCACCGAAACCTTTGATGGCAGAGGCGGATAAAGGCGGAAAGTCCTGCGGAATCTGAAAGCCGTGCTGGGACCATCCGTGCACTGCTGCTCATTGGTGTGTTGTGAACGTCTCTGGCTGAAGTTCGCTATTTTCTCATTCGTGCAATCATTCTGAAGCGAGGTCTGCGGTGCCCGGTGCAACCCACAGCGGTCAGCTGTGACGGGAGACAGTGGGGCAGGTGGCGCGAAAGAAGTCAGCAGAGCTGGGAAGCGCGAGCAGCCAGGCCACAGGACGCTTACCTGTCAGGGCTTCACAGTCACAAAGGTATCGTCACCCATGGGAGCTGAGTTTCCGAGAGAGAGCAGCACGAAACGCCTCGGCCCTGGATCCTGGGTGACGTGTTCGTCTGGGTCACAGGCCTCCCCACTGACCCCCAGCTCACCACGGACGGGCTCAGAACTGAGACGCCCCGAGGAGAGAGGCCAGAACTTCCTTTGGCAGCGATTTTTCAGAAGCCTTCCTGGTTTCTGATCATTAAAAATCGGATATGATTCACCATCTGACATACTTCACACTCTGCTCCTCTGCCTGCTGATTTGGGGTTGTGGCTACTTGCCGACCACCAGAAGGTTCCGGGGAAACTGAAGTCACAGAGGGACATTTGTTTACTGCAGGAAGCACCAACCGTTGTGTTGAGGAATTGGGAGACACTTTAACAGTTCTCACGTTATCAACTTAATTGTATGCTTCCTGTGCAGCAGTAATGTCTTACGTTGCTGCCGAGATCATTTTGAAAGGAGTTCGTTCAAGGTGTGCAGCGAAATGCTTTTGGTGTCAACCACTGGTGACAGTGTCCTCCACAGGCTGTGAAACATACAAGGCCCGGTTTAATTCTGCCACACACAAAAAAAATTAGTTCATTGAAAAGACACCCGACTGAAAGCGCAGGCGTGGTTCGAGGATAACGGGATGAGGACACAGCAAAGGGAGCCGCCAGTTCCTTTATGTGTCCTTTCAAGGGGACACATGTGAAGAGGGGGAGGGGGAGTCCCAGTGAAACCTAAATGAGGAAACAATTTAAAACCCGGTGGCCGGCTGCTCCGCGCTGGGCCAGTGGGCGTGGTCTCCAGGTCAGCGGGCTGCACTTCGCGCACAAGTGAGAGAACCAAGCACAGCCCGCTGAGCCGTCGCGGTTCCCCCACCTCACTCCTTTCTTTCAAAGTCGTTCTCCAAGTCACGAAAAGGGGGGTGCTTGTTGCAAAGGCACTTCATTTATAAATGTTGTTACTGTTTTTATTATTAACATTGAACACGGGAAAGGCCGTCTTGGAAGTCACCTGCAAACCCGTCCTGGTGCCCCCACTCTGTCCCCGGGCGCGCTGGGTGGCTGGGGCGCTGTGAACCACCGCGCCCGCGGGGCTCCGAGGTGGTGTCCCCGCTGCTCCCAGACTCCGTCGCCGGCTGCAGCAGCAGCAAGGCGCACGGTCCTTCTTCGCCCGGGCCCCAGGAAAAGCGCCCGGCGTGGCAGCACCTCCCCCTCTTGGGGAAACGTCCCCCGGCTACCGCTGTCTGGGCTGGGGATGGGTCTCCTCGTCGCGACCGCCCCTTTCCTAGAGGGGGACACTCGCGAACACACCCGTCACCTCCGCGCGACCCGCGGTCCGCCCGGCGCGCAGCGCACCCCAGCGGTCGCGTGCCGCCTCCAGGCCCCGGCCACCGGGCTTCCGGAGAGCTCGCCAGTCGCCGCCGCGGCCGCCTCGGAATCAGCACTTGTGAGGCCGCGGGAGCGGGTCTGGGCCCGACCCCTGAAGGCGCGGCTGCGGTTCCGGCCCCGCTCCCCGCACCTGGAGTGGGACCCGGAGAGGCGGGGCGGGGCTGCAGCCCGGCCGAGTGCCGGTGCAGCTCGCCGAAGCCGCCCGCTGCGAGCGAGGCGAGGGGGAGGGTCTCGAGGCCGAGTCCGCTGCTCGGGGGAGAGACCCCAGCGGGGGTGGAACCGGCCCCCGAGAGGCGCCCAGGCGCGCGGCGCGGGCATGGAACGGGCGGGCCCCCGCTCCGCGCGGCCGCGGGACCACAGCTCGGTGGAAGCGTGGCTGGACGACCACTGGGACTTCACCTTCTCTTACTTTGTTAGGAAAGCCACCAGGTAAGCAGAGGGCACGCGGCGGGGCCCGCCGCGGCGTGGAGCGCGACCTGGGCTGATCTCCCCCGGCATTGTCCCCTCCCTTCACCATTAAACAGCCTCGGCTCCCGGGCCTTCATTTTAAAGTAGGTCCTCGGTCCGCTTACGGTGCCGAGGTCTGGACTTGAGGGCGAGCGCGGTGTAAAAACCCAGGCGTGGGCTTGGATCCAACTCGCTCGCAAAGTTCAAATACAGAAACATCCGAGCGCCCGGCCCCCGCCGCTCTCATCCCCGGGGAGCCGTTCCCGTGCGCCCTCGTTCACGGCCTCCTCCTGCAGCCCCGTCCAGCTCCCGGAGCCCCAGACCTCCGCGGCGAAACCAAAACAGCCCGAGCCCCTTCCCTGCAGCTCCGGAAGCGCCGTTCCCAGCGCGGTCCCGGCGGCTGCGCTCCTCCCCCGTCCCGCTCGCCCGGGCCTGGGGGGCGGGGAGCCGGGGAGGGGGCGAGACGGCGGGACAGCCCCGGGACAGCAACGTGCAGGAGCCTTCCCGGAGTGAGTGCGGGTGCCGTGCACCCCTCTAGTCCCCAGTGTCCCTCCTGCCTCCTTTTACTCGCTCCTGCGTCCGAGGCGGCGCCGCAGACTGAGCTCCGGGACGGGTGGCGTGGAACGGACCCGGGGCTGGCGGGTCCCGAGCGGCCGAAGCGACCCCAGGGCCAGCTCTGCCTGGTCTGGAGCCAAGGCCGGCGGCCGCGGTGGAGGGCGGGGGCGAGCTCTCCTCTGGGAGGCTGCCGCGGGCCTTGGGGCGCGCGTGGGAAACACTGGCAGAGACTGGGGAGGAACAGAGGCCGCAGCCGAGGGACCCGGAGGGGAGCGGAGAGTGCGTGGCGCGCGGGTCCCTGAGGGCTGCGGACTCCGTGCGGCGCGGGGACGCGGACAGGGCTCCTGCGCGCGCTCGGGCTGACTTCCAGACGACCCTTTGGGGAGGGCGCGAGCCAGCCCTGGCCGCGGGGCCGGAGGCGATGGTGGGGGAGCCGGCCGGGGCTCCGTGCGGGGCTCCCACCCGCCGGCGCGCAGCCGCCGCTGTGCAGGGCGCTCCCCGCCAGGGGGCGGCGCGGCGCGGGCCGAGCGGGCGGCCGGGTCGCTAGGGGAGCCGGCTGCAGTCACCCGCCGCACCTGGGCGCGGTGTCGCCCCCCGCGCCTGCTGGAGTTCGGGGGTCCGCCGGGGCCGCAGGGCCCGCACCTCGCCTTCGCACGTCTGCTATGCTGCCCTTTGGAGACAGAACGAGGTACCAACCAGCACCCCTTTCCCACTCCTCGGGCGCGGCGGGCCGGGGCTGGGTTGCGGGAGTGGGGTGGGGTGGGGGACACCTCACTGGCAGTGGACCCTGGGACATTTGGACCTCCTTGTCCCTCTGCGGACTATTACTTTGCAGCCGTAGGTGGGGCTCTCTTTAACCCCGTTACTCCTAGGAAATGTCCAGAGTTGGGGTCGACTTAACCACTTGCGGGGTTTCTGACAGAGGCGAGGGCTTGGGTCATATCTCGTCTCTCGGATTAATCACCGACCCCTCAGAAAGTCAGTCCCCTTCCCTGCCTTCTCCTTCGGCCCTGGAACCCCACGTCTGGAGTGCCCGAGGGGTGAGCCCTGAACGGAAAGCGGGTTTTCCCGGAAGGCGCTCTCTGCCTATTTGGGGAGAGCACGAAGGCCCGAGGGGTCTGGAGTCGTCCCCTGCTACTCCCAGGCCACCTGTCCCGTCTCCTGGCACCTTGGCACCCTTCTCCCTCCTGCCCTCACTGAGTAGTAGGGCAGTGGATGGGGAGTGGGCAGGGGACCCGTGCTGATCTTTTAAGTGTGGGGCGTCTTTCGTGTAGATTATTAGCAGTGGAAAGAAACAAGTCGTCTGTCTTGCGAAGCAGCCTTAGATGCCCCTTCCCCTTCCTCCTTCCCGTGTAGAGCAGAAGTGGGGTGGTCAGTCGGTGGTGGGTTTTAACCGGTCACACCTAACCCCGCTCCGCGTCCAGAGCCTGCGGGAACTTTGGAAGTAGGATCTTAGTGGAGAACAACAAATCGAAACTGTTGCTGCCGTTCTCTTCTCCTTACATTTTCTTCCAAGTAGCACAGGATGAAAACCCTAATTCTCAAAATGGTGTTCATCTGAGCAAAATTTAGGTCGTCTGGGACTCGATACGTTTCTCAGGCCCGGTTTTCACGGCACAGCCGATGTGGACAGCCGGCCGCTTCTCTCTGTGGCCTGTGTATCTCTGTGTGTGTACACTCTTAAGAGAAGAGTTTATGTTGAGTTCAAGTCGGAAAACGAAAGTATAAAATAGTTTAGAGTGCTTCAGGCCCTTGGTTTTAGGAGTTACAAAGTGCCTAAGTTGTCCGTATGCAGCAAGGGGTGCTTCAGAAGATGGTGGTCCAGTTTGGGACTGGATTTGGTGGTGTGAACTTGAAATTAGAAATTAGAGACCCACAGGAAGAATGAGAGATGGGAAGGTAGATGCTTGTAAAACTGCCGAACTGCTAGGTCCAGGGAGGTGAAAACTTACTGCAGGCATGTTAACCTCCCCGACAAGATTTTGTTTTTAACTAGAAGCTCACACTCCTGCGCTCTGTCCCCTTTTGTTCCCCGCTGTTAGTGTGAGTACCATGGGCGACTCAGGAAACCCACAAAACAACAGACTCTCAGCACCCGTGGGGGCCCTCAGCTCAGCTATCCCGGCCTGTGAACAGGCCTGATGCCGGGACTATCTCCACATCCTTGGATGTGATCACGGCCGTTCCACAGGCAGGCTTGCCGCTCCGTCCTTTCCCTGGTGGCGTGAGGTGGCGTGATCCGTGATCCGCACCCAGGAGCAGACACTGAGTGGAAGGAACATTGTAGCCCACCGGGATTCTCCTTGAAACACCCCGGAGTTTGGGCTGCCCTTGAAAGCCCTTGTGCATAACACTGTAACTATTTTCAATTGCAGAGTTAGGCACCTCATTGAAAGCTACATAGTTTGCAGCATAGAAATAGATGTGCTTTGACCCTGGCAGGGTAGTTCAGTTGCTTAGAACATCATCTGGATACACCGAGGTTGTGGGTTCGATTCCCCAGTCAGGGCACATACAAGAAGCAACCAATGAACATTTGAGTAGGTGGAGCAACAAATGGATGTTTCTCTCCCTCCCTTTCTTTCTCTCCTTCTCTCTCTAAAGTAAAAGAAACAGATGCTGTTTAGTAACTAAACTACAGTCTGTATATGTGAGTAACTACAATCTGAACTACAATATGTGAAGGTGAGGGTCAGTTGAACAATTATAACATAATCTATTGGCATAAAAATAACCGGACACTTGCCACCAGAGCTGGTGGAAAGGCCCCGCCCTCCCTGTTGGAGGGGACAATGTTGCAGCTGCCCCACAGGCCAGAGACTGAGAACAGGGGCTCTGAGGCCCGGCCTCCTCCAATGACATCCTCCGGGCTGCAGACGCCACTGTCCCCACCACTGCCGTTCTGCACAGCCAGTTAGAGGCCGCTGCCTGTCCTTAGCTGCAACCAGCTCTGGGATCCCTGGCGAGGGGGGGGGTCTGTTGGAGGAATAGCGCCGCAGGCTTTTTATTGCTTTATTTTGTGTGAGGCAAATGCTTGAGAATATTTGGCACCTACTGTAAAGAGGAGATACTAAATGAGGACAAGTGTTTTACGGCCGCTTAGATCAAAGTCCAGAAACAGAACTTCTGTGCCACCAGGCTGTTCTGGGTGGCGGGCTTCCTGTCTGATGCCACCAGGCTGGCCTGGGCATTCACGCTCCAGGCCCTGTGCTTGGGGTCCGCTCTCCTTTTCCCCTTTCTCCTCGTTCTTTTGTAATTTTTGCGCCTCTAAAAGTTGTAACATTTCCATGTTGAAGGTATTTATATTAAAACAGAAGATGGATAGAATATAAATATTGCTCTCCACCCTTAAGAATGACTTACTGTAATGATACGGGAACAGAAACAGCACGATTTTCAGACACTGATACCTTGGCATATTTCGTTAAACTGGGCACTAGAGCTGAAGATAATAAAACCCTGTGGGCGCAGACTCCATTGCCCTGGACGGGACTTAGAATGCAAGGCGGGGCAGCTGTGGGTGCGTTCACTCTTGGTCCCGTGGGAAATTATACAATAATTAACAACACGAGAATACGCTCCTGCACCCACAGTGGTAAGTCTACTTCTGCCCCACCCAGTGTTTTTATGATGGTAATTCTGGGGCACAACAGCCTTTTTTCTGTATTGCTTATAGCCAGGACACAGACAGCCGGCTCTAAGCTGCCTTTCCTTGACCTCAGCGCACTGGTGCCGATCGCCTGGGAGACCACCAGAGTTCCCCCCCACCCCCACCCCTCGGGACGCGTCTCATTGCCCTTCCACCTCCAGGCCTCCGGTTCAGACCATGGAGAGCTCGTGAAACTAGGCCGTGGCTCCTGAAAATGTGCTCGAATGTGCACAGTGGCAGGTAGTCAGAGACGGGTCTTTGGGAGTCAGACTCTGCTGGGCGTAGCCCACGCGGGAACAGGCGTGCGGGACCATTCAGGGGCTTCTTTCTTCTTTCTCCCAGTTTGTGACCTGGAGCTGCATAGAATTCGCCAATATTTTCACAAGATCGTGGCTTCAGCACATCAAGACGAGCAGTTGCTCGCATTTTAATTATGTTGTGCAACAAAGTTTCCTTTTTAAATAATGCCACCTAACTAGATGATTTGACTCTGGTCTCTCGTGTTGTTTCTGTTAAAGTGCTTGAAACTCCTTTCAAGTTGCGCAGGTGAGAGTCGCACCTCTGCCCTCACCCGACGGGAGAGCCTGCCCTCCTGCCGCTCTCCCCGAGCCCCGGGTCCGAACCCACAGACCGTCCTGGAACTTTGGTCGGGCTCCCCAGTGCATTCGAGTAACAGCTGGGAAAGATTTCTCTCATAACTGAAGAGGCTAAACAAACAGCACTGTGTGGTAGTTTTCAGTTTACCAACCCGGTAATTTATTAACCCCGTGGCTGCTGT